TTCACGATCGATATCCGAGAATCTTTTGAAGAAAAATCTCCTTTCTTTCATCGCAAGTTTCACGAATGGGAAAAGGATTATCGCGCATAATTCTCGAAATAAAATATCTCTCCTCCTCCTTTCGTTGTCGAGCTCGCAAATCTCTCGAAAGGGTTGTCATCGTCGCGTTCATCCGTGTATATTATCGATTATTATAACTAAATATTAATCACCTTACGCCTATGTAATTTTCTCGTATACTTATATCTACGAATTATATATATATATATATATCATAAATTTTACAGAGAGAGAATGACGCTACGTCATAGAGAAGCATGCGTTAGAAAAATAATGTATCTGAATCAAAAAACAGGAGAAAACAAGCGGCGTGGAGGTGGAGGGTAGAGAAGAATTTTCTATGTATACATGTGTGTATATATATATATATATATATAAAATCATCCAAGTTACCAAATAAACGTGGGACGTGGGGAACGTGACTTCGTCGGTGAAGGAGGGGGATACGCATTCGAGAGACGTCACAATTAACGGCAAGGAAATATGAAAGAACGTATTAATCTTAAGATAATATTATAGGGTATTCGTTGTTGCTGTTAAGGAGAGAGAAAGAGGTTCGAAAAAGCTTAGGTTAGAGAAGTAAAAAAAAAAAAGAAAAGAAAAGAAAAGAAAAAAAGAGAGAGACAAATAGTAGTGGTAGTTAGAGTGAAAGAATTGCAAAAAAACCGGTCCCCGCCTCCACACCGCGCGAACCTTACCTTTCTGATTCCTTGAATTGCTTAATTAATGGACGTAACATCGTATAGTACATCGTTACTTCGCTTATTTAATGGACGTAACACCGTGTTCGAAACGGGTTCAAATCATTTCTGTGCGCGTGTATGTATGTGTATATAGAGATGCGTGCTCGTTTCTCGTCGATCGATCGTTTCGTGGAAAAATTATTTGCTTGGTTGGATCGATCGAAAAAGAGAAAAGAAAAGGGAGGAACGAAAAGAGAGAAAAAAAAAGAAAAAGAAAAAGAAAAAGAAAAAGAAAGAGAGAACGAAAATTAAATGATTACAAAGTGTTCTTCGAGCGTTATCGGTTATATTCAACAAGTTTGGCTCTCGCTTACGAAATACGAAAAGCGCGTAATGGAATTTAAAAGCGAATATTTCTTTTTCCCGTTTCCTTCGTTTGGAAATTTTAACAGACATAAATATCTGTTTCCACTCGTGTCTGTATTTTATTTTCGTGTTCATTGTTCTTTTTTTTTTTTTACCCACGAAGAATCTACGAAAACATCTCGATTCGCGAAGAACATTACATTTATTTATTTTTTTTCTTTCGCCTTTCTCTCGACGGAAAATTATCCGATCGAAGGAATTCGCAACACCGGCAAAATTGAGCACAGAGATCGTCAAAACCTCTCGTTAAATATTCGTTCCATCCATTTCCACTATATTTCTATTGTGCTTCTCATAGAAAAATAATTCTGTCTCTCTGAAGAAATGGCGGAAAGAACGTTTGCTCGCTTCGTTCGAATCTATTTGAACCCTTTCAGCCTCGATAACAGCCATCTTATTATCCAAAGAGGGAAACCTAATACGCTCGAAATTCTTCGCTCGAAGAATTTTCAACCGATTTCAAATCGAGATATTTAAGCGAGAAAGAAAAAGAAATTGCCAAGAAGATGGACAAGAAGTGATGGAGACAAGTTTTGGAGGCCGAAAGGGTCCCAAGCGGCTAATATCGATCAACGCGAATTATCCACTATATATATATAGCTAGTAACAATCTACAACCAGGTACGAGTTCTTCTCCTCTCTTATTCACGTGTCGAGGCAATTTCGAGGCGACCGAGGTGTTAGGGTAAGGCTAACGAAGAACGATCTTTATCTTTCCGCGGTTGAGAAGTCTGGTAAATAGAACCGAGGCAAACACCTTTCAATTTGCACCAAGAAACTTTTTACGACACCTCTCTTTATTCTCCGTACATTTTCAACATATTCGACGGGACAACGATCGATACTGGATCACCACGTTTTCTCGACCAACGCCGACTCTCTCTCTCTCTCTCTCTCTCCCTCTTTCCTCGTCGAGAGCGTCGTGTATTTCGCGATTGCGTAAGGATACTTCTCCCCTTTCCCCCTAACCTCACCGTTCGAAACGATACATCGTTCCAGCTATTATAACCTTACCCTAATGCCCCTGTCTGGCGCGCGCACACGCCTCCATCGAGATATTATATGGTCGAATCTGAAAATATTTTCTTTCTCCACGCATACCAAACAACGGTTCCGGTCTCCGTTAACACGTCGCCCAGAAGAATGCTCGTGTAAACCGATGAATGTGAATACCCGTCCCCTGAACCGTGACCCTATACGATATACGACCACGCGCACCGAACCCGGTCGACAAGGAAGGAAACGTATCGAACAAAAATTCCCTATGGAAAACGCGTGTTCGTTCAACGTTAACCCTTTGCACTCGACACCATTTAGATTCGATTTCTTTAGAATATTTCCCCTCGTGAACGGATCCCCAATCTCTTTACAAGAATCACGCAAGAATTGTTATGTAAAAAAAAAAATATTAATAAAATACAACAGTTTTGCATTTGCGCGTGAAATCATTTTGAGATCCAAGGAATAGGAAAATTTGTCTCGAGTTGTTTGTTATTGGCTGGGCAAAGGGTTAACTGGGCGAGACACGCACTGTTGGAATGTTATTATTCGGAATATATATATATATACGTGTGTATGTGTATGCGCGAGATCGTTCACGACTTCGGGAAAACGAACAGTGCTCGATATTCTCGGTTCGAAAAACTCGAAAGTGTGAAAGAATCGCCACTCGAATCCACCCGAATTTTCCCCTAGAGCTTAAACGATCCCGCGCACCTTTACCACAATTCATCGACAGAGGAATGTACAACAAATGAGGCTCGTCGAGGGAAACAATATTCGGTGGCGCGCGGCCTTTGTCGCGAATAGACCCCAGATTCTTGAACAATCGAACATTATGTGTTAATCACGGTTTCATCAATGGGGATTGCACGCAAGAAACGCCATGTTTTAATTGAATGGTTAGGCCACAAGTTGCACACCTTTGGACGCGACATTGACTTCTAAACAAACAAACACACACACACACACACACACACTCATCGTGCAACGATGAATAAAACGCGTTATCGATCCATAAGATTTGTGTTGATCTTAACTCCCTAGAAAAAGAAATTAGCCTTGAGTTGAGCTGTTCGGTTGTCGTTTCCCTACACATGTTTCTCAGCATTTGTTCAATCCAGGGTCTAGCCACGAATCTCACTTTAACAGTAACTGGTTTCATCGAGTCACTCGTCATTCGAAACGCGTCGTTCGGTCGAATCGCAGTGTGTGCGTGTGTGTGTGTATGTGTGAGTGTGTATACATATTTATTATAATACTTATACTCATAGGGTTGCGCGGCCCTTTGACGTTGCGGCGAAGGCGGGGACCGTCCGGCCTGCGTCCTGGGATGGCATGCACAGAACACAGCACAAAATGCCACACAGTTACACAGACAAACAAATCGAACAGAGAAGAGAAGGGGAGAAGAGATAGAGAGAGAAAAGATGGCCCCGTGGCCTGGATCGGGGAGGAAGGGGGCAAAGGAGGGGAGGCGCGGTATTTCGGGATATTAACAGGTATCAATCGAATTGATAACGTGGGGATTTTCTTTTCTTTTTAGATTAAAGGGGGAATGGGTCCTTTATTTCCGCGAAGACGATGATTCTACGAAATCTTCGATTCGTTCGTCACTGGAGACACGAAAAGTGGGGAAAAATTTTTGAATCGTGGAGTGTTAAATAGAAAAAAAGAAAGGGGGAAAAAAAGATCCAAAGTGCTCGATCACAAATCATATATTCTCTAAACTCTAAACTCTAAAGTGGTTGCTACACGTAAGAGCAATTACGTTAATTTCTTACGTTATGTTCGCTAAGAAGAATTGGAGAGAAAAATCGTACGATGCGTCAATAATGGAGCAAGCAAAGAAAGAACGATATAAATTGAAAAGTGTGATTGTAAAAGGGATTGAGAAAAAGAGTCTGCTATAATCGGCGGGCTCGCGATTTTGGATAATCTTTAATAGACTCTAACGAAATTTTATCCCACTCTCGTCCTTCTTTTTCGTTTTTCTTTCCCGCTTCGTTCCCGAGTCTAAACGATTACGTCGCCTCGAAGGTATTTCCTTTCATCCCCCCTCCCTCTTTATCTCGAGATAGTTGGCCATAAATTCTTAATGTTCTCGCGGGGAAGCGCGAATGAACGGATAACAGCGGACGATTGTTATCTTGTTTAACATCCGGTGGTATTTTTGAACGACACCCGTGTCGGAAAAAGAGGTCCCGGTTTTCCGTTTCGCCGATTCGAAAAATCGTCGCCGATTCCGCGAAAAACGAAAAAAAATCCTTCTTTTCCTCCGATGAATAGGCGAGATCCCGAATGATGCGCTAGAAGGAAAGGAAGAGGAGAGGAGGAGGGAGATCAGAGAGCAGAAAGTGGCAAATCTGTATGGATCTTTTTTTTTCTTTTTTTTTTTTTTTTTTTTTTGTTAGATTCAAAGTGCTCGAAAGGATATGAACGAAGAAAATATAATATCAGGAATTTACACTACATAAATTGTGTCACATTCGAGGAGATTTTGTACGATTTTCGTTCAGTGGTTTTACAAAAAAAAAAAAAACCCAAAAACCCGATACCACATTCGACGACCCGATTCGCCTTTTCCTTTCTAAATTCACCATTTCCAAATTTCCAGCTAGGACTAAGAGAAACGACGAGTATCGCGCGAGTATAATAATCGAGGGATCAAAAAAAAAAAAAAAAAAGAAAAAGATGGCAGTCCCCTTTCCTCGTGACGCGAAAGTGCACGAAGGTGTCGCGAAAGAGACAGGGATTGACGAGCGAATGTAACAATATCCACGAAGGAAGTAAGTAAAGTATATATATATATGTAAAAGTGGGAAGACTCACCTTCGACAAGCCGCCTCCGCCGCCTCCGCCACCGGATGCGGTCGAACCGCGTCCGGGTGTGACGTACAGGCTCTCCGTACGCTTAGGCTGGCCAGGACTCGGGAGAATATCCTGTCCAAGGCTGCGATTCCTCAGCAAGGCCCCCTCGAATTGGGCGGAACTCGAGGAAGCGTACGTCGGCGTCGCTGCACCGCTGCCCACTACGGATCCGTTGAGCGGCGTGCTCGATCGGATCGCGCTTGGCGCTCTCGTCGATCTAGATTCGTAGATCCAAGGGTTAAATCTTCTTTGATTAACATTTCTCTTCGTATTAGTCGAAGCTTGGCTGTGGTGTTCACTTGTCAATTGTTTCTGTGATCTAGATTAGTGGATATTCCAAGCGTTAAATCCTCTTTGGATCGATAATATATCGATCGAGGGGTGCACGATTGAGCAAATCTCGTTTGTTAATTTTGTTTCGTTAAAGAGCGTGTACGGGAGGGAATGTTTCGGATTTCACCTGTCGAGCGTGTCCGGATTCGTGACTGTTTTATCGACGGACGGCTGTCTCGATCCAGTCAATCGGGAATGCGCTCTGGCGTAACGATCCACGGAACTGTCACGGCTGGGCGGCCTCTTGTAATGGTCCAGCCTGCAAGGTAGGACAGATCGATCGAGTTAAGAGATACGATCGATACGAAATGGATCGAGCGAGGGGAAGAAGGAAAAATTATTCGATTCGAACTCGATCGAGTTTCAGAGACCTGTCGTTTAACGTTTGCCCAATCGTGTTGGGTCGATCCTGCGCCGTTAGGAGCCTGCTATTCCTTCGTATACTAGTGGAGCTTGGCGGCCGTGGTGCCTCGCCGTCGGCCTGTTGGCCATATTGTTGCGGAATTTGGGTTTGCGGTTGGCCAGTTAATTGCTGCTGTTGCCCGTAAACTTGCTGGGAGTTGTACTGATTCGTCTGGCTTTGTTGCCCGTATTGATTCGGCAACGTCTGAAACGGAGACGGAGAATGAACCGGGATCGATTCCCATTTCTTATCAAAACCCGTTATTCGCGCTCGATTAAAAATATCGATCCCACCTGCTGACTAGGATAAGCTTGTTGCACGTTCTGATACGACCCTTGTTGACCGATCGATTGCTGGTACAAATACTGATCGCCCTGAAGCGGATTCACGGGTTGGTATTGAGGTTGATTGGTGTAAGGGCTACCCTGAACGGGATACTGCGAAGGGACCCCCCCGTATTGGCCCCCCCCTTGGAACTGGTTGATCGGCTGATACTGATTCGGTATACTGTTGGGATAGGCCTGTTGGACAGGGCTCTGAACCATCGGCTGGGGGCCGTACTGGTAAACGCTCTGGCTCAACTGATCGAGGGGCAGCTGGTTGATCAGTTGAGCAGGGGTCACCTGATTCGCGAGCTCGGTCTGCGACAACTGGTTCTGCGGCAATTGATTCTGCCCGATCTGATTCTTCTGTTGGGCCGGCAACTGATTGGCCAACAATTGTTGTTGGCCCTGCGGCTTCATGCTCGCCCTCCTGATCGACTGCATCACGTTGCTGGCCGTGGTCGTTGCCGACGACGCCCCCTCCTGAGACGAGGACGGGCTCTTGACGGGCGTGGATCCCTGTTGCTGCTGCTGCTGCTGCTGCTCCACCACCCCACCCCCCTTGTGAAGAATACTCTTCCCGGGTACCGTGTCCTGAGGCGGTGGCACGTACTTGGGTATCTCCCTGTTCCTCAACCTCTCGAGGCCCGGCTGCCTGAAATCGGGCGCGAACTGTTTCGCCGTCTGCTGGGCCAACTCCGAGTCCTCTCTCGCCTGCTCGGCTGCCGTGTCGGCCAACTCGGCCCTTCCACGCGCTGTCGCCGTTCTCGATATCGCGATATCCGCCTTCTGAAGAGCTATCTTGCTCGCCCTTTGAGCCGCGCTCACCGCCGCCTCTATCCTCTCGCGGAACTTGGCCGATCTGATAAGGAACAGATGCTTCTTCTTCTGGCTGGTGATCAACACGTTGTTCTTGTACTTGCCCTCCTCCTTGCTCCCGTCCCGGAACGTCGTCACCCCGTAACCGTACTTCCGGTTGTTGAACCACTCGCCCTCGTATCGAAGCCCGTCGCTCCGCTCCGATATACCGAAACCTGTCCTCTTGTCGTTCTTCCACTCCCCCAGATACGTCTCTGTCACCGAGGCGTCCATTTGCTCGTCCTGCGAATTCCATGTTACAAAGATGTTAGTTAGAGATCGATTTAATCCTTTTCCTTAGATACTATAGTACATATCTCGTGGATTAATCCTGTCAAAGGTATTTATAATATTTTGAATAATATTCTGGAAACGAAGAAGCAAGTTTCTTCTGTTCTTTTCTATTTGACTAGTATAACAAAAAATCTTTCTTATTTTCACGTTTCTCATGTTGTTACGTAACGACTGTTAAAAAAGCGTATATACAAGAGACATGGTGGCGTTGAAAGATCGAAAGTGCGAGAAACAGAATCTATATGCATGGATAGAGGTAAATGGCGACAAAATGTATCTTTTCTTATATGAATAAATATATTTTCGAGTAAGGCGAAAAATTCGGTCGTTAGACTGATCGCAAATTTCGTCTAAATCGTTGAAAATATTTAATTTAAATTAACTTTAGGAATTAGTTATTTTACAGAAATTTCATAAAATTTTAACGATGGAATCAAATGAGTAACCAAATTTTCTTCCAGGTATCAAAATTATGATTCAGTTATATCACGAGAAAATGGTATGAAAATTTGATCATAATTTTATCAATCATTTTGTATATTAAGATCACGAATATAATATCTAATGGAAAAAAAAAAGAAAATTAGGGATAAATATACGATCGCGCACACTGTTCGAGGAATTCTTACCTCGATGACGAAGGACGCGTTGCTGTCGGTATGAACGGAGGCCGAGGCCTGACTCTGCGAGCTCTCCGTGGACATCCACGAAGCCGAGCTCGCATTGCTTCTGATGCTGCCCCCGGTTCCGTGCTTCTCCAAATCGCCCGTACTCCTCTGCTTTCGTATCTTCAACCCCTGAAATTGCGACGAGAGCGTGAAAAGGAGAAAAGGGAAAAGAAAATAAATGAAAATGGCAAACGAAGGTAGGAAAATCATTTACCGAAAGGATACCCTTCTTCAACGATTTCTCCGTGAGGCTCTTCCTCCTCGCCGGCGGGTTGTCGCTCCTTGCTTTGAGCACGAAACCACCCCTACTGTCGCCGACGCGGCGATCCCTTCTGTCGGTCGGTTCCGGCGTCGGTGCCACCGCCCCACCATCGTCCGCGCTCCTCAGGGACGTCAAGGAAGCCCTGACTTGCTTCGAGGGTTTGTAATGGCTCGCCAAGCCGAAGGGGGCGCTCGCCCTCACTCCGTACCCGTGCCTCATCCCGTGGTACCATTGACCTTGATACGTGCCTGTCGAAACGTCACCCACCCCCCCCTCTCGTTAATAATCCTTTTCTGTCGTACTCGGCATATAATACAAAATTTTTCGTACAAGAGGAAGCATTTCTTTCTTCTTGATTTCAAAGGAATTTGAAGAAAGAATATTCTCGAAAGGCGTTAAGTTGTTTTTATCGCTCTGGACTCAAAAAATTTGAAACAATTTTGGATATTTAGTACAAGATATTTTTAATATAAGATTTTAATTTAAATATATACATTTTTTCGAGATTCGAGAGGAATTCTCGAAACACCGTACAAGCACACGTTTACGGTGCACGTGAACGGTGAAATTTGCATACGCGGCGAGGACGAGACCCGCCGGTTCATATTAGAACCACCGTGCTGGAAATCACGTTCCGCCAAATCACGATCCCGGATGTGACGAATCCCCGCGCTTGGTAATAAGCAGCATTGTTTTTGCCAAAACGTGACCGTGTTTCAAAATGTCCCGCGTGAGTCACGCGCGAAAGAGAGAGAACAAAACTCGAATTATCCATCCTGAGTGACGAGGCGTGGGTGCGTTCCTCTTTCGTCGAAAATGTAAATTCCTCGCCGATGAGATACCGCGCAGACTACCGGCCGAGAGTAACAACTGGATGGACGATGGATCGTTAACGGGCCAAGTATTCGAAACGAATCTTTCGTGGAAAAACGTTCCCCTCTTTGCTTTCTTTTTCGTTTCGACGGCTCCCTCAACGAATATTCTAACGATCGAATATTTTGGGAAAATGATTGGAAAGAGAGAATTCGAGAGAGAGAGAGAGAGAGAGAGATTCGTATTCTTCCTTTATTATCGAATTATCATCCCGAATGATAATTGGATCTATTTTTAAGGGAAATTTGTAAACTCATCCTCAACTCTTTGGAATTTAAAAAAAAAATATCGATCTATTATAGCTAACTCGAAAATAACTCGAGCGATCGTATTAATCCGTTCGATATATCCGAGGCGAATATATGTAAAAATATATATATATATATATATATATACGAAAATGGGATCGTAAAGTTTAACGAACAAAACGCAGGTATGTAGGTTGAACTAAAATCAGCCATATTGGAAATATTTGGAGATACAATTCCTCCGCCAGTGAACGCTTATAACAACTCGTTTTCGCGAATTTACCACCGATCGAATTTACATTTCGATCCGTGTTTCTCCAAGACCAACTATACGTCATCGTTTTTTCGGGATTCGATCGGTTCGGATGGAGAAAAGAAAGAGACAGAGAGAGAGAGAAAGAGAGAGAGAGAGAGAGGGAGAGAGAGGGGGAACTGTATTCCGTTAGGGAACAAAGGGAACGCGACAACGAATGCTTTCCAGCTAGGCCGCGATGATCAACAAAGTGGCACCGAGTCTGTCGAAAGCGTTTCCATTCTGCTCACCTCGTTCCCCCCGCGCAGCCCCCCATTATTCGACCAACAATAATCATCAAAGCCTTCCCGTCCCGTATCCGTCGGCCCATTAACAAAGTGGCGCGATCGCAACCATGCATCGTCGTTTGTCGTCCCACTCACGACACGAGATCTCCTTTCTTTACTTCCCCCACTCCTCGGCCGTCTCCATTACAAAAAGCAGCGCCACTGGATTCGATTCGCGCTTGCACACAATCGGCGCGAATTCCCTACGAGTTCACCGTATTCTCACGCTTCTCGGAGGATCGATTTTATTTTTCTTCCTTTTTTTAAGTAATCCCCCACGAGTCGCGAAATTGATCTCGAAATTCATCGACGTCGTGAGCGCGAATTTTTCTTAACACGTTGATTACGATATTACGATGTACTCTGATGGCGTAATAAGCATAAGAATAAGATGCTCTCGCATCGTTCTTTCCATCGTTACGTTGCTCAGGTTCTCGCCGCTCTACGCGAATAGCTCGAATGTTTGCCGAGCGGTGTAAAATTTCTGCCCTAAAATTTCGTTCCAATATCCAAAAAAGAGAAATGGAAGAGTTATGTCTTAGCGAGTGAATCGTATAGAGGACAACAACTTTTTGGTCCAAATCGTCCTGACCAACCTCAGCTTTCTATGGAATGCTAGTTAAAGTTTTACATTCCGAATAATTTTTTAATAAACCGTTTTTACATTACTTTTGTAACAATTCATTACACTTTTTATAACACATATCTTTCCAAACACCTACACGAGGATCCCTTGTAAGTAGTCAAATAACACGTCGAATACGGGTGACGCGAGAATCAACGTGTTGAAATCGAGATTTCGTTAACGAATCGAAGATATATCCTTTCGTATATGGAAAAATCGATTCACGGAATTATACGTATTTTCATAGTCTCGAGTCTCCCCTAACAACACCAACAATAATTTCACTTGCCATTGTGTCCCTCGTCGGCTGATTACCACGACGAAAGACAAATCGAAAGAAAAATTGCGACGACCAAGCAGCGAGATCGAAGAAAATCGAGAAAAGAAAAAAAAAAACGATCCATCGATTTACTTGAAGAGGGAGAGGGGGGGGGAGGCTCGGTCCGCTGATCGATCGGTCCACTGGGGGAGGGTATGGAGAGGGAGAGGGCCAGGAAAATGGAGTCTGCGGGCGGCATTATTGCAGCCGGCCGTGCATATGGAAACGGGCCGGAGTCTCCCTTCCCACCAACCGGAATATTATTTCGCCAGCGTTTAAGCAAGTGGGTCACGCCGTGCCTCTCTCTCTCTCTCTCTCTCGACACGGGCGTTCGAACCGCCCGTTCGATGCGAGGTCCACGAAATTGCATCGCGCGTTTCCCCCTCTCTTCCCCCTCCCCTCCCCCCTCTTTGATTAATTCTCGAGAAATTCCACGCAAAATCTCACCAATTCTCGAATCATTTCCTTCCAAGCCTTCTGCCTCGACGAAATTTTTCTCGAGGGCGAGGAATTATTTTCGACGTTCAGAGAAATCTGAGTCTTTTTTATCTCGGGCTCGGTTTCTTCCTAGCGACGAAAAAGGTGGTGTAAAAAGTTTTTTTATCTTATCTCTTGATCGTTCTCCTTTGTTTCTTATTACTTTTTTCTGGATATAGAATCAAGCAATTGTACTAGAAAATCTTGGTAGAAATTATCAGGATTATCGAGATGGAATGGTTCAATGGTATTTCATCCGATGGAATGCTCATCCGATAGTATCGTAAATTTCGTGCTACCCTTATCTTTCTCTCTCTCTCTCTCTCTCTCTCAGCCCCAATTGCGCTCCCCGAAATCCAAAGAAGCTTCGTCCAAGGTATTCGTCGTCTCGAATTCGTAACGCAATTATGGAAATTAGCCTTGCCTCCCCGATATATTCTATACATTCCCCGGATAGTAGACGGAGAGAGCAGGTTTCCCATCTGTCGACGGGGTCGGGATTAAACTCCCTCGTAGAAACGGCGAGAGACGGGTCGAGTTATTCGGGTCAACTCTTGCAACGCCTCTTCTGTTGGAAACGCCTCGGGACAAAAAGGTCCCACGTCGACGCCGCGTTGCCTGTCCATCCACGAATTTGGGGTGGATATCGACTCGTTGAACAGCGATCCAGAACCGAGCGAGGTGGAAACAAGGTTGTCGAGCTAATGCGTTCCCTCTGAAATTGCTTTCAAAAAAATTCTCGCGATGTTCCACGCAGTGTTATTTACTCAAACCTTTTCAGGATTATCCTCCCCTTTGATTTTTCTGCTCAACTTAAACCCGCCTATCGATCCTCCACCGACGACCCAGATTAATTATTGTCGAGCCTCTAATTTCGCGTCGTCTACCAGCGTCGTCTGTTTCTTTCGTCTGAGAGAGGGAGAGCGAGGAGGAGATCCTTCTCTCCACGAAAACTTTTACTGGTTATTGAATTTCCGTCGAATCACGCTTCGCGAACACGTTTTGCTCCACTTCGCGAAACTCGAACAGCATCGAATTTCGTGCTTCGCTCTTACTTTGTCGTTCCTTCTTTCGAGCCGAGACGTCGCCCGTTTATCCCGAATTCGTTTCCTGCAATGCTTCCTTTTTTTTAATCGTGGCCGCGCTTCCAAACTTTGTCAAATTTCGCTAATCTTTGTTCAAAACGAGTCTTATTCGTCATCTATATATCAATTTTATATTCGTGTAATTATTATTAGAAAACGTAGAATTTTGTAGACTATGAGAGGAACACTCTCTTGAGAAACGATTCTTATTTAAATTGTATTTGGAATCGATCGAGATTTTTGTACCCATTGCAACCCATTTCGAATCTCTCTTAGACCGTATAAAATAAAATATTCTACATCCGATATATCCAATCTCAACAAATGTCTCTAGTTTACGCTAATCAAATTTTCAGGAAACTATTTTCTCTTGTATTAAACCGCCCCTCGGGTCGAGAAGAGCGTTATTTCATGCAAATTCTTATCCCATATCCCCCTTCCCTCCAGTGAATAAACACTGTTCGAGATTCAATTTGACGATGGAAAGAAGCCTCTCGCCCGTCCTAAAAACGTTCATCTATTTATCGTTTCCAACTCGCGTTCCCTATTTACTCCTTGGTTCCTCGTGCGAGGAGGCGGCCGGCCAACCTGTTCCGCGCTAGGTTACGAGGGTGAAGACCCTTTCTGGCTTATATCCGTCGTGCCACGAGGTATCGCGGCCATCGAGCCGCACAAAGTTTCGTTCGACGCAGGCCTCGACACGGGGAACCTCGAGGAGAAGGAGGAGAAGGAGGAGGAGGAGGAGGAGGAGGAGGAGGAGGGATCTCGCGCTAAAATAATCATCGGTGAATTTCGCCGGTGAAAAATTTATCGGCCGTGTCTGCCTTTTTTTTTTCTTTCTTTTTGCGCCGACGTACACATCCCATTTCCTTTTTCCTTTTTTTTTTCTCGAGAAATTGTGAAAAATTGAATCAACAACGTCGAAGATCGATTTAAATAAACTGTGAGCCGAGCCTCGAACCGATGATAAAATCGATATAATGATTTTGCGAAAGATGAATGTGAATAAATTTGAGAGGACTGGCAGAAGGAATTTTCTTTG